ACTATAATAATAATAATAATAATAATAATAATAATAATAATAATAACAACAATAACAATAATAATATCTATAATAATAATAATAATAATAACTTTATTTATGTGTCAATGAGATTTAGCATTGCTGCGAATTGGGGACACCTAAAAAGAGTTACAATTATCAGGACTATGAACAAATTAAATTTTTTAACATTATAATTATTCACAAGATAAAAGCCTATCTATCAAAATAAAAATACAAAAGTTAATAAATACAAGAAACTATCGTGAGATCTAGTTAAACTCTTGCTTGGCTCCAAGAACAAGAAGAAAATAACAAGCTAATTGATTAGGTCAAAAGGGTCGTCTCTTCGCCACACCATGCTGTGGGTTTTCATTTACTGAGCCACGAAGTTAATCTTTGCATTATGCAAGTGGCCTGTTTTTATAGAATACTTTGTTTTCGGACAAGATCAATACAGGCTCTTCAATTTTCTCATAAACAGCTTGTGAGAAATGATAATAATATTGTTCACTGTTGAGAACGAAATCGCACCTCGCCATTCAAAAGATGAGGTAATAATAAAGTTCTCAGCAGATCCTCATCATGATCATCTTCGTCACTATCACTGTCGTGCTCATCATCCTCATCATCAAAATCGTCATCACCATCATCATCACTGCCGTAACAAACAAAGAACTAATAAACTTAGAGGCTTCAAATTTAAAAGACACTACTAACAGTAGCGTAGTGAGACATTCAGATGCCTTGTGGTTAGCGTGTTAGAATTTAGACACAACCCAAGTTTTGAACCCTGGCTAGGGTCACTGTGTTCTGTTCTTGGACAAGACACTATACAGACAGTGTATCTGTCCACCCAGGCGTATCAGTAGGTCCCAGTTATCTATAAGCCAAACCTGGCGAAATGCAAGGAACTAACATGACAGAACCTGACATGCACTCGAATGGGGAGTAGCAGTAGCCGGACTCACTTCAAGCTACCACAGTATTCAGGATGAGCTCTGCCATTTGGCCCAAATTAAACTTAATTAGAGGTTGTCAATAAGAAATTCTAGCCAACCATTTCACTGACTGAGAGTCAAAAGTTGAGAATTCGAGCCTGACTAGTAGCATTGTCCTGGTGTTGCAGTCTTAGGTACATGAAATACACAATTCCCAAAATGCCTCTCTACACCTGGGCGTATAAATAAAATACAGGAATGGTTGGGGGAGGAGTGGTAAGCTATATCCACCCATCTTGGCCACGTGGCTCGTAAGACTGACACTTCAGAGATCAAATAACAATACGGCTCTAAAGCTCCAGAGGAGAGGTTGTGGAAGCTATATTTTACCAATATCAGCAGCAGGTACTTTACCTTGCATGCTAATAACCCAAAAGATTCAAGATCACGTCATGCAAATTGAGAACATTAATTCCTTACCTCTCCAAATCTAAATCATCATCGTCATCATCTACATCATCATCATCATCATCATCATTACAAACCAGGCAATCCGGATCTGTTGAGAAAAAACTTGCAGTTGTAAAGGAACGTCACCTGAAACTTCAGACAAATGTTACTGCATTGATTTGTTTCAAAACCAGGAAACGGACGAGGTACATAAAATTTCTCACCTCCATTAATACAGCAGGTTTTGGTGCTCTGATGGTGGTCGAATGACAAGATTCCAATGTGATTCATATTAAAACTAGGGCATTCAGCAATGAGTGAAAACATCTAACATCA